CCGACGCGCTCTCACCCGCAGTCCTCGGGCCGCGCGCCTGCCCGGGCCGGACCCCAGCGCGCGTGCGCGCCACCGCCTCCCGGGCGCCGCGGAAAACGCGGAAGTGGATCCGGGATTTGGAAGGGAGCGCGGTGAGCCGCAAAGCCCGGACCGGAGTCGGCTGCGAAGAGCCGTCGGCCGGAGAGGAGCCAGAACGCGCGGGGCTCCCCGACGCGGAAACGCGGTCCCCTGCCTTTTCAGCAGGGAAAGACAAAACGCGGGGAGGAAGCGGACGGCCCTCGCGGTGCCAGCAATCCCCACCCCCACCCCAAAGCGTCCTTTGTTGGGTCTCCCGCCCACACCCAATTTACTTACAAAAAACATCCTTTTGGAGCCCATAGTGGTGGCGCACTACTGCAATCCCAGCACCCAGGAGACTGAGGCAGGAGATGGCCCTGAGCTCGGGCCTAGGCTGTGGGGTCTGTAGCTTGGGCTACGTAGTGAGTTCAAGGCCAGCCTGAATTAGAGCAACAACCTATCTCAGAGAAAGAAAAATTCTTTTGAGAGGCATGGCGGCACACACCCAGAATTGGCAGCTACTAAGAAAGTTGAGGCAGTAAGATCACAAATTTGAGACCTCAAAAATTTTTAAAGTTTTTAAAACTGGGTGTAAGCTCCTGCCTGGCAAGCACAAGGTCCTGAGTTTGATTCCCAGTAATAATCAATCAACTGATAGGAGTGTGGCTTAATAGTTGAGCATTTTGCCTTAGCATGCTGCATGCCCTGGGTTCAATCCCCAAACCCGAAAGAAAAAAAAAACCATTAGGAAAAACCATACTAAAAACTTAATGGAAAAAATAAAAAGTTGCCGTGAGCCAAAAACTGCCCTAATAAAGTCTGTTGAACTGGGTGTGGTGGCTCATACTTATAATCCCAGCACTCTGAGAAGCTGAGGCAGGAGGACTGCAAATTCCAGTCAAGCTTAGAAAATTCAGACTTAGCAACACCTGGTCTCAAAATAAAACCTAAAGTCTGTTAAAAAGACTTTGGGCTGGCTAGATAGTTCAGCAGATTAAAGCACCTGTTTAGGCAGACATAGGACCAGGATTTGATCCCTGGTGTGCCATGCTAGCCCTGCCCCTGGGGCACCCTGAGTCGAATGAGACTGGGTGTGGTGGTACAGGCCTGTAATCCCAGCCCTTGGGAGGCCGAAAACAGGAGGATCATTATGAGTCCAATCTGTGTAGTGAGACCATGTAGACCCTGTACTAAAATACACTTTTAAAAAATGGGAGGCTGAGGCAGGAGGATCATGAATTTAAGGCCGGCTTGGGCTACAAGGTGAATTCAAGGCTGGCCTGAACTGCATTATGAAACCCTGTCTCAAAAAGGCAAAAATAAATAAATAAAGAGGGCTGGGGAGATAGCTCAGAGGTCTAAGTGCCTGCCTAGGAATTGCAAGGACCCAGGATTCAATCCCCAGTACTGTATGTCATGCTGGTCCTTGAACCCTACGTGTGTCCTACCAGCCCTGAACCCAGGGCTGGTGGCATACACCTGTAATCCCAGCACTGGGGAGGCTGAGACAGGAGGATTGCTAAGCATAGTGAGACCTTGTACCAAATAAATAAATGATTTTTTTAATTAAAAAAAATAAATACTTAAAGACTAGGTATGTAGCTCAGTGGTAGTATTGTAACATCAGGGATGAACCCAGGGTCTTCCCAAGCATACTACTCTGGATTCATCCCTAATGCTACAATAT